GAAAAAGGAAAGTAGAGGGATTATAGTTGGCTAAGTTAGTAGCGGTGTTGGTGTTAATAACGGGATTAGGTGAAGGAGGTAACTAGTATGAAAATTGAAAGTAGAGGGAGGACAGTAGTATGTTTTGGGAGAGTAGAGGGAGGTCTTTGAATGATTTCAAAGTACAGGGAGGACAATGAACGAAAAAGGAAAGTAGAGGGACTATAGTTGGCTTTAACCCTATGAAAAAACAAAAAACAATATCATTTCATCTAATAAATGTAGTGGACCTGGTGCTAAAAATAATACAAACTTACCTAATTGGCCGTATTCTAAAACCACGTGACCAGAAAATGATTCACTTTCACATCTAGGACGCCAGCAAATGGTTGTCATCCAGGAGAGAAAGCTGAAAGACATAGACGTGCTAAGGACTCCATTATTGAAGTTTAGCACAAGTTGGAGTAGTGATGTGAAGATTAGCATAAATCTGCACCATTCCTTTTTAAAGAAGAAATCTGAAATTTGATTTCATCAAGTCCACTCTTTTTTAGTAGTACTCTTTTTTAACTAGATAAGAAGATATTTGTTTCTTCTAAAGAAGAGAGAAATCTGCACCACTCTCCTTTAAAGAAGAAATTTGACATTTGATTTCATTAAGTCCACTCTTTTAATTAGTAGAATTCCTCTTTAACTAGATAAGTAGATATTTGTTTCTTCTAAAGAAGAGACAAATCTGTACCACTCTCTTTTAAAGAAGAAATTTGACATTTGATTTCATCAAGTCCACTCTTTTGTTAGAACTCTTTTTTAACTAGATAAGTAGATATTTGTTTCTTCTTTAATCTGCACCTCTCTTTTTTAAAGAAGAAATTTGACATTTGATTTCACCAAGTCCACTCGTTTAGTAGCACTCTTTTCCAACTAGATAAGTAGATATTTGTTTCTTCTCCTTTAAGTTTAATATTTAGTCCATTAACTATTTCTTTGTTATCACTTAATTTAGAAACTTTATTTTTTTTCAAACTAGGCTACAAATATTTATCAAAATTTCACCTTACCAACTACATTACCTGGTGTAAACACCACCTAACCCAACAAGATTACATTTTAACTTTTAATCAACCTCAACTGACCAATACCAAATACTAGATTTAGCCTTTCTTCCTCTCTTGAAAATATGTTTTACTCTTTTTCAACTTGCAGATGTTGCTGAAGTTGGAATCCAATTTGGTATTCTAAGTAACAGAAAAAGCAAGGGCAACAGTTCAGCAAAATAAGGCCTAGCCCAATTGAAGAACAAGAAAACCCAACAACCTTGATTCTCTTTCTTTACTCTAAGAATAGCCCAACAAATTCAACCCTCAAATTAAACTTTCCAACAATGCCAGTAATCCATCTAATTATCAATTTTGTTATTTTTTTTTAACGAAATGATCAATTTTGTTCTTCAAATCAAGCAAATCACATAAACAATGCAAAAACAGGGATTAAGCAAAACTAACCTTCATTATGTGGTCTCAGAATGCATGTACGGCATTTTAAGAAACAGTTGGTGAGCACACAAGAGAAAAGGCACCGATCCCGGCCCTTTTGTCAAAAAAGAAAAAAGAAAAGGCACAAGCCCATTAGCTGAGCAATCCTAAGGAGATGATATTTAGTTGCATGTTGCAGAAAGTGCTAGGTGAAAGTTGGCGTTGGGCAGAGGTAGTAATAGAGTTGAGGGCAATTAAACACCGATCTTGGATTGAAGAAAAATGGGAGCTAAAAAAATAGCACAGGTTTCAACTGCGTCTGCCCCTTTACTCATCAAATTTCAGGGCCATATTTAACTTCAAGCTTCTCCCACCATGATTACAAAGATGGCTTGCATAATGGAATTAATATCATATCGAGATGTTCGTGTTAAAAACAGGCAAATATTTTTTTAGAATTAAGGAAAATCTGGACTAATAATTATTAAAATATCAAAATACTTAAATCAACATGTAAAATAATTTATTAAAAATATTTAAATAATTTTATAAAAAATTTTAAAATTTAACATACTAAGATATTTTTATTTTTCTCATTTTTTTAAAAATTAATGGACATAGACAATATGGATTAATCTTTTAATAAATAAATAAATTATATAATAAAATATAATATCATATGATATTATCACTATATATTTTTAATATTACAATTAAGTTTAATTTAATTATTAAAAATAATTCGATAACTATAGCTATTTGTTAAATAAGTGTAAAATCAACCTATATGACATCTTGTTTTCAAATGCCCTGAACAGCTTTTATTCTCAAATGATTAAACCAAACATACTCATTATATGAGTAACTTTTTAATAAAAAGATTTTGAATGAAACTAAAAGTTTTAGATTAACAAATAAAAAATTATCCATGACAATTGCAAGTAGAACTCAAATTCTTTTTTTTTTTTTTTATCTTAAATTACATAATTAAAAATAATTTTTTCTCAGCTCTTAACTCATCTCATTCATATATCCATATATCACATGACTTCAAATTTTCTACTTTCATTTGAAAAAAAAGGATTACCACTAAATTGTGGTTGGTAGCAGAAGAGCGTGGATTTTCCCTATTTATGAAAAAAATTAATAAAAATATATAAATTACTTTTATTTTAAATTTAATCTAACCCAATATATTAATACATTTCAAACCCAACTCAATTATTTATGTTAGATTTATCTTTATTTATAGTTGGATAATTTATATTAAATTTTACCATTTGTCTATTGACTTTACTAGTTACAACTAATTATATTTTTACAATTTACAAAGGTAAAATCTAGATGTTATTACTATTGCATAAGGAATAAATCCATTGATTTAGTCATTTATATCGGATTTATCTTTATTTATATTTAAATAATTTATATTTGATTTTATATTTAGAAAATTGTAGTTAATTGTGTTTAAATTTTTACAATTTACAAAGGTAAAATCTAGATGTTATT